AGTTATAATTTTGTCGACAAAAGGCTACTTTTGTCGACAAAACCCTGTAGTCTAGACACACCCTCAACACATAGACCACATCTATACTTACCACGCTGGCAGGGGCGGCCCTAGACTAGCTGACAGCAACTGGCGCCCTAGACTCTGTAGTCTAGACACACCCGGAGAGAGCAGTCCTCTCTCACACTAGAGTCCTTCCTTCCTGTTTTTTTCCAAGGGCTCATGGGAATTGTAGTCTGGATTGTAGCACACAGGGTCTTTCCAGAATAAAACAGAGGCCCCTTTAGTAAGGGGACTACATAAGTTATTATTAGTGTAGATGGAGTGACCTCCAGGGCACCTGTGTTATTTCCTGGAGGCCTCTTCTTTCGAAAGAACCCCCTGTTCTGCGTCCACACATGCCTTTTCCGGAAAAGGGCTTCTTCCTCATAGAAAGAGGTTTACCATTGTTGGAAAAAACCCTCTGTTCTGTCGACTAGATGTCAAAAGAACTCAATGGCAGTGTGGTTGCAAGTATTGTTTTTTCCGTAAAAATGGCTGTTTTCCCAGAAAAACGCTGCAGTATAGATGCACCCCTAGAGACTTCCAGAAAGGTTGGACTCTTCTAGATGTTGTGGAAGAAAACATTGTCCTCACTCTGCGTTTGTAAGTAACAAGTAGCCAGAGGCAGTTTTATTACGAGCTGCAGCAAGGGAAAAACTGGTTTGGACAGGGGGGGAAGCGCCCCCCCTCCGAGGCAGATCTTTGAATACAAGCAATTATGAAGCAGTTTATATACTGTCCATTAGATATAATAACAATAACAATTAGTCTCCTTCCCATTACAAACACCAATGGCTAACAGTTATTTAGTTCCACCTAGATGCCTTAGTTCCACCCAGAAGCTCCTTATCTCAAAGTCCCTGCCAGAGTCAGCATTTTATCCTTATCTCCGTATGGAGGCGAGAAGCAAAGGCAGTGTATGAGTAACTGTATGAACTGGAAGCATGTAGGTAACTGTATGAGTCTCTAGATTTTCTGTAGAGACTCATACAGTTACCTACATGCCCCCATCCAGCACACCCCATACGATCCATCATCTATAGCCAAGCCCTTCGATACAACCGCATCTGGTCTAATCCCACTGACAGAGACCAGAAACTTCAGGATCTCTACCAAGCATTTATAAATCTCAACTACCCATCCGGAGAAATAAAAAAGCAAATTGAAAGAGCCAGACGAATACAGTCAGTCCCCGGGTTACGTACAAGATAGGGACTATAGGTTTGTTCTTAAGTTGAATTTGTATATAACTCGGTACTGGCTCCAGATTCAGCCGTTGCTGC